CAGGACCTGGGAGGGGGCGGTGCACAGAGTGTACCCCAACTTCACGTGTCTGTGAGGCAACAAGAGGCTACAGGAAAAGGAGAACACACAGCCATGGTAAGAGATTGGCTTTGGTTGAAACTTTTCAGCCCACGTTGACCAGGTTGGGTGTCCTGTCCGCTTCTTTCCCCTCCCACCCACTCACCACGGGCCTGTACCTTGTTTGGGGCTTTTTGACCTTTCTCACAAGGGAAGTTGCTGTCTGTGGGGGACTTTTTTACTTTCTAGGCTGTCTGACGTTTCATTTCATACTGAGCCTCGTGGGCTGAGATTATTTACATCAGTGAAGAACTTTCTAGGTAGGGGGTGTGACTTAAGTGAGGAGGCAGGAGAGACCTGTGAACCCTGGAGAGAGGGTGTGCTGTTGTTATGGTTATTTGCCATCGGATCAAAACTGACCCATAACTGACCCTCTGGTGAGTTTTCAGAGGCAGTAAACTGCTCAGGAAGAGATTGCCCGTCTTTCTCCTTTGGAGCATCTGATGGATTCAAACCTATGCCTTTGAGATTGCAGCTCAGCTTCCTACCACTTGGCTGCCAGAGCTCACTTCTCTGAATCCTGGGAAGGCTGTGAAGTCCTGACTTATGAGATGATGGCTGAGATAGGGGTCCAGGTGTTCTATTTTTACTCCTGTCTTGTCCCAACGTGCCCAAGCCTTGCTTCCACCAGAGACCTGGCTCTTCTGTAACTTGTGCAGCCTTCTAGGGGAGGCGCTCCCTCCTGGAGGCAGGTCTGTCCTGCCTGCTCCATGCAGCGGGTAGGAAGCAACTTGCTGAGACTCTGGATTTCATTCTATCCACTCTCAGGCTCTGGGGGCCAAGAACCTTGTCCTGAGAGGAAAGCATATCTTTTCCTCAGGACGCTCATCCCTTTTTGACTACCCAGAGTTCAAGTGACAGACCTTTTGAGCAGAAAACAGCCTTGGCAATGGACAGGCTGTGTAAGGCAGGAGCTGCCGAAACCAGTGTTCTCTCGGGCTATAAATATGCACGTGAGTGGTAGAACGTTTTGGCAGGAATTTGGCAGCATAGGGACCAGTCTCTGGAGAAGAACATCATGGTGAAGAAGATCAAAGGAAAAAGGAAGCCTCTGAACAAGGTGGATGGGCGCGGAGGGCTCAGGTGCAGCAGCAGTTGTGAGCACGGCACAGGACTGGGCGCTGCTTTGTTCGGTCATTCATAGGGTCGCGGTGGGTTGGAGCTAAAGCAGTGGCTCCCATCAGCACCACACCATGTCATGGACAGACTCTGTAACCCAGCCAGCCCACCTCTGAGGGGTACCATAATTAGAGTACACAAGTGCACAGAACTAAAGTACTAGGGTGTACATGGCAGTGTTGTGTAAAAAAGCAGCAAAAAGCCGATTCATCTAAATGTCCGTGATTAGCGAGCTGAATAAATCAGGGATCAGATAGAGCATTGCACAATTTTACACTGAAAAAGTAAATTGCAGAGCGTTGAGTAGAATGCCATTTTGAGTGGATCTGATACACATATGCATGTGTATCTTACGTATGATTGTTGTATACCATCAAGTCCGAACCAACTCCTAGCTACCCTCCAGTGGGTTTTCAGAGGCAGTAACTCATATGGGAGAAGATTGCCCAACTTTCTCTTGTGGTGTGACTGGTGGATTTGAACCATGTAGCTTTAGGTTCTGGTGGCTTAATGGTAAGAAACTGCACAGCAACCTCAAAGACACGCAGTTTGAATTCACGAGCAGTTATGTGGGAGAAGTATAGGCATTCTCCTCTTGTGTGATTTACTGCCTCCAAAAATCTGCTGGAAGGTTAACGATGGATTGGTCCTCACTTGATGGCACACAAGAAGAAGAAGCAGCCACCTGAATGGGCAGTTTGGTGGCCTTGTGGTAAAAAGCTGCACTGCAATACTAAAGGCACATTGTTCGAATCCAACAGCTGCTCTGCAGGGAGAAGGATGGGCAGCCTCTTCCTGTGTGATTTTCTGCCTCTCATAGCTTGCTGGAGGGTCAGCTATGTGTCGGTTCCAACTTGCCAGCACACAACAGTCACAAGAGCTCCCTACGTATAATTAGAGAAGTATAAGAAAAATGTCTAGGGAGCTTTGGTGGCAAAGTCCGCAGGGAACTGCATTGCTAACCCGAGAGTGACATCTCACTGTCAGTTCACATCTACTTGTGACTCTGAGGGAGAAAGATGAGCAGTCTCCTCTTAATGCAATTTATCGCCTCTGTAACCTGCTGGAAGCTCAGCTATGAGTGGGTTCTCTTTTGACAACAATGATAGAGGGGGGAAACTGTTAATAGTTTCGTATGGGGGCTGTTTTTAGTGCTAGAAGGTTGAACTAGGAGCTTGAACTCTTTAGCCCTATTCATATGTGCTGTTAGCATTTTCATATGTGTCTTACTTTAGTTTTTACATGAAATAGGAGACTTAAAAGAAAAAAAATGTACCCCCATTAGTCTAGTCTTATTGTCTCACTTTATAAATGAAGGTGGTGTTAATATAAAAGTTGGCTTTTCTAGCCATTACGTTAGGCCCCTCTGGTCTCCAGCTACCTTAACTGCAGATACATGGTCTTGTAAATCATCAATAGCTATAGGACTAGGATAAGAGAAAGCTTCCCACACTGAGTAGCAAGACTTGAGAGAGACTGGAGCAAGATCCTGGTGAGAACGAGACCCTGGTAGCAAGATCCTGGTGATTGTGGTGGAGAGACTGTGGCATAGCTGTAGAGAAACTGTGGCACGGTGTACCCAGAGGAATACTGAGATAAAGGCCACAGTTAAAGGCCAAATGCTGACTGCTGAACTGAATCTGGAGTCTGGACTAATTGAAGAATTGTGCCTCTGTACCACTGGTCTAGAATTTGGATTTGCATTGGGTAATAGTCTTTGTACATCTGGTCAACACTGTTGGCACCAGCAGCCAGGAAACCAAAAAACCTATTGTGATGGGAAAGTCTGCTGTTAGGGACCTCTCTAAAGTACTCAAGAGCAACAGTGTTTCTCTGGAGACTAAAGTGTGCCTGATACAGGCCATGGTCTGTGCAATCACATGTTATGCATCAGAGAGTTGGACAATGACTAGGGAGGACAGAAGGAGAATTGATGCCTTTGAGCTGTGGTGCTGAAGAAGAGTATTGAATGTACCATGGGCTGCCAAGAAACAATCAGATTCATCCTGGAGAGGGTTAAACCAGGCTACTCTTTGGAGGCAAGGATTCTGGGGCTTCGTCTGACATACTTTGGGCATGTTGCAAGGAGGGACAGGTCCTTGGAGAGGGACATCATGCTTGGGAGGGTGGAGGGACTTCACAAGAGGGGAAAATCCTCTATGAGGTGGATTGATTCAGTGACTTGGGTAATCGAGATGGGTGTGTCAGAGGCAGTGTGATTGGCACAGGACAGAGCAGGGTTTAGGGCTTTTGTACATAGGGTCGCTATGAGTCGCAAATGACTCGACGGCACATAACAGCAACAACAGTAGTCTTTGTCTCCTGCACCCTACAATTTACTTCCCTTATAAACTCTCCTCTTAGTACCACAATGTGAGAAAATTCTGTGAATCAACAATGAACGTCAAATCTAAAGATTGGTGGAAAGAGGTGCGGGAGCAGGAGGTGGTGTGTCTGATCGAGCGGCTATCTTTTTTGCTGCTATGGACATTATTGATGAGGACAGCTCCCCTTTATGAAGCGGGTAGGAGTCAGACTCGGACACTCTCACATTCCGTCTGCTACCTTTACTGTGAGGAACCCAATGCATCCTCTAAATGCAGTATCTAATGTGAGGCTGTGGATCAGCACCATGTTTGCTGAGATGGTATTGTCCCTTTCCTCCTGTGGCGCAGGCTTTGCACAAACGGGGGCCACCCAAGGTGGGGTGCTGGATGCAGCCTGGTGCCCTTGGGTGTAGCAGAGTTGATGAGCCCAGACTTGCCTCTCCTTGGCCCAAGATGGACACCTCCTTTCTTCCTGCACGTTCCTGGCTGCTCATTTCCAGAAGGCCAGGGACCAAGTGCTCACACACAGCTGGGCCCAAGGGGCCTGGGAACGTCCTTGCAAATGTGTGACCTCTAGCAAATCACACCACTCTCAGAGACTCTCAGTTTCCCGCACCTTCGTCTCTGACAAGTAGGGAGACTCTGAAGGGATAATGGGAGTGAAAGAACTTTGCACACTGTGCAGTGACACCTGTGAAATACAGCCATGATTAATCTTTTTCAATTTTATTACTTGGAATCTGAACGAGTTCAGTTCTCAGATTCTTAGGACCTGAGGGATAAAACAGTAAATCTCCTCTTTGAGAGAAGGAACGTAGGACAGGTGTTGCTGGAGAGGCTGTAGATTACTTGTCCCTGCCTTGGCTCTGTTAGATGTGAGCTCCTGGGGAACCTGTGGGGGTCACCGCTGAGGGAAAGGGCTGAGCTAAGCTTTTTGAGGACCCCGAGGAGTGCTGTGTGGATGGCCACCCTTTGATCCTCACACTCCACTCCACGTGACACTTGTCAACTTAACTGATGTCAGGCTTGAATCCCAAGAGACCAAGGAGACCAGGAGAGCTCAGAAGACAGGCATCAGACCAGTGTGACGTTAACAGAATTGACCTGGTGGTGCTAGAATCTTCTGAGGCAGGCCCCAGTTTGAATGATGGATCACACGGGGACTATAACAGGGACAGCTGGGTGTGACCTCGTTGTGTGGGACTGGGTGGGTCTGAGGCTTGGGTGGGGAGCAGATGAGACTCACGAACCTGCTGGAATTTCTCTCCCTTTTCTTAAGCTGGAATCCACAGGCCCTTTGATTTAAAGTCCATTAATGCCTTGAAACTGACATCAAATTATGCGTATGTTCACTTGCATGCACATTTATGTGGGCACAATCCTCTGGACAGACGGCATGTAGAGGGGTCAGCGGCCCAGAGAGGCTCAGGCCGCTTGTCTAATTAACCTTCCCCTCATGTCTCCTCCTCTCTCCAGGTGGAAAGCAGTGACACACCGAAAGACCCGCCGGTGACCTCCAAGTCCCCGTCCATGGCCCAGGACTCAGGCTCCTCAGAGCTGTTACCCAATGGGGACTTGGAGAAACGGAGTGATCCCCAGCCAGAAGAGGGGAGCCCGGCTGGGGGACAGAAGGGCAGGGCCCCAGCGGAGGGAGAAGGGACAGCCGAGACCCCACCAGAAGCCTCTCGGGCAGTAGAGAATGGCTGCTGCACCCCAAAGGACGGCCGAGGAGCCCCTGCAGAGGAGGGTGAGTCTCCGGCACAAGGGGCAGGCTCATCTGGGCTCCCCCAAAGGGCTAGGCTTTGGGACCTAGAAAGCCAGAGGAAGGGTTTGGAGGGTTGGCCTGGAGGCTGGGGGCTGCATGCCAGGGCTCTGTGCTGAATGCAGCCTACACACATCTTGTATTTGGCCCATGTCGTGTTTTAAACATTTCAAAAAAGTTTTAGTTGCCAGCTTTTGAAAATCAAGACATTTTGCATAAAAATCTGGAGTTTGGGCTTATCGTGAGGAAGGGGGTTGAAGCTAAATCTGGCAACAGTGTGGGCTTGTACGATACCAGTGGTGGATGGATTGGGGCGGGTGGATCTCCCCATTGACATGGATGGGTTTACCTCAGCCTCCACCTACCTGCTTACTCCTTCAAGGGACCTGACGCTCTTGGGGTCATGGTCTTTGTAGTGCTTGGTCAGGGCAGAAGAAGCCCTGCAGGAGTTAAAAGCCATCACTCTTCCCTGTGCAGATGTCTTGAATCCACTCTAGTTTGGCTGGCATGACTGGAAATTTGGTTGTGACACTGTGGGGAGAGAAAGGGATGTGGGGGAGAAGCTGTGGCCTGAGAGTCCAGGAAAGCCTGAAGGCATGGGATGGGGATGGTGGCCTCAGTGCCCTGTCCAGTCCCCTGTGCACTCTCCATTTCCCTGTGCACTGTCCAGTCCTGGCCTCTTCATCTGGGGACTTTTCGGCCCAGCCGGAAGTCCTGGAAGGTGGCCCACTTTTCTCTTTCAGGTTAAGCCAGCTATTTCAGGGCCAACCAAGCTGTAAACATGTTAGTAATGAGGACAACTAGCATTTGTATAGGACTTCACAGTTTACCCAGCGCTTTCTCATACATTATCACATTTGATCCTCTCAGGGCCCTGCCAGGTTGTTTTGCATATGTGCATTTTAATTTCAAAAAAGCCTTCCTTCCAAGTGTGTATGATGGAATGAGTAAATTGATCAATTGGCAGAACTTACATCGCATGGATCCAAATCTAATATTCATGCAGGATAGAGAACATTTCGAAAAGTAACCCACACTATAAAAATATCTTTGATTCGTTTATTATTCAGCAAATATTTATGATGCTTGTACGATGTGCGAAGCTCTTGCTGAGGCACTTTGCATCCATTGTTGTATTGACTCCTCCAAACAATATGCAAGATGTATCATTATCGCCATGAAAAGGTGTTAAAAATGAAACTTAAAGAGCTTGATTGAGCATCGCAAGGCCTCCTGGCTTGGAAGTGGCAGGTCTGGGAGTCCAGTCTGTCTCAGGCTTCAGAGCAGGTGACCTCTCCACTATCCTTGGCCGATCTGATGGTGTGGGACCAGAGAAGGTTCTTGAATTCCCATGTCTCCAGGCTTCACTTTGGTACCTCTTTGGTCTCCTTTGACACTTTAGGAGAATGGGGGTAGTGGAAGTGCGTCTGAGTGGAGGCGGAAAGGGGAGACATTGCCCTTGATGGATAAGAGGAGGACCTCTCCCCAGCCAGCTCTACTCAACCACAGTGCTCTCTAGGGGCCAGGACTCGGTTGATTTCAGTTGTTGTGTACCATCAGGTTGGGAACCAACCCACAGCTGACCCTCGAGTGAGCTTTCAGAGACAGTTAATACCATGGGAGGAGATTGCCCATCTTTCTCCTGCGGAGCAACTGGTGGATTCATACCACCTGCCTTTGGGATTGCAGTGCACCTTCTTACCACTAGGCCACCAGGGCACCGTGATTTCTTGGTTCCTGAAATCCCGCCTTAAGTGGTGCTAGGCTGCTGCTCAGAAGTAAGGTGAACCTTCCTGTAAAGTTGTTCTTAAGTCTTGAGAAGTTGTTTTTTGGGCTTGGAATTTCCTTATCTCCATTTCTAGTTCTTCTCAGGATCTCTTTCTTCAGTCAGCTGGTGTTTACTGGACACTATTGAGAGTGTACCAGGATCTGTGTGAGGTACTGAAATAAACAAAAATCTGGTGCTTACCCTCCGAGACCACAGTCTACTGGAGAGACTGACGTTAAGCAGAAATCCACACTTACACATGGGTACACAGAGCTACGTGCTCTAAAGAGAAATGGTGTGCTTCTCTGAGGAACTCTAACCCAGGAAGCTGGCTAAGGCTGGGATGTGATACCTGAGCTCAAGGATGAGTTAGAGCTCCTCAGGCCAAGGTGGTGATGGGAGATGAAGAGTGAAAGTCTTCGAGGGAGCAAAGTGAGAGGTTAGGAGATGAAGTAGAGAGGACACAGGGCTGGACCATGAGTGCCTTTAAGGTTGCATTCTCAGGGAGCACGTGATAAGCTTTGTGTTGTGAAAAGATGACTTTGCTGTCTGGATCATGGAGTGCAGTGGAGGGACCGGGAAGAGGACTGACTGGTGAGGGGCTGCTGCTGAAGTCTGGGAGAGGAGGGATACTCTGATCAACAAGAAGAGATGGGGAGAAGTAGATGATTGCAGGAATCCGAGGGCTAGTGGGGAGATGAGTCATGGATGACTTCTAGGCTTAGAACTTTCACACACTGAGTGGATCTTCTTCAGAATCGTGGTGCTGAACATGGTGAACAAAACTGTTCAAAGGCTCTTTCCTCTCCGCACTTTGTCCTTAAATTGCTCCTGTGTGTAACCCCAGCTACTCAGGAAGTTGAGATACCAGCAGGGGTCAGAGCTAGTGGGATCCTTGAAGGCCACTGTGAATGGCCGAGACCCTGAGTTTTGTGAGGTGTCACTGAGAGAGACACAACAGCCTATGAGAGGCGCAGTCAGCGTGCAGCAGGCAGTGGCTTACTCTGTGTGGAGGCTGGGCCTGTCCTGCAGTCAGCTGACACAGAACGCATGCTCAGCTGGTGCATTCAGATGAAGGAGAATAAGGACCCAAAAAAGGAAGTGACTTGGCCACAGTTGTCCTCCCTCCAGGTCTCTGTTCAGGGGCCCCCCAGGGTGTCTCCTGGATCCCTTTTATTAGTTTCTGTACAGGAAAGCCAAAAGGGCTTTACGGCAGCATGCATATGGACTGGGTACCCTCCTGAGTGTATGTAGGAGCCTCTGAACCTATAATGCAGTCAGGAGAAAGAACTGCGACCAGGAGAGTTGATCAGCTGTAAAGACACTAGCCAGCATTCGGACCAGCACCTGACCAGGCAGTTCTCCCAGCCATGATGCCATAAATATGATAATAGTAATGATGGCAATGTGGCTTTTACATACAAAGATCAAGCCTTTGTTGGGTATCTCCTTGGGCAGCTTAATTAGCATCACATCACGCGGGAGCCTGTTGGAAATGAAGAACTTCAGGCTCCACCCCAGACCTGCCAATCAAGACCTGCATTTTACAAGCATCCCTGTGATTTGTTTGCATTTTAAAGTTTGAGTAGTTCTGCTCTCTCTATAGGGAGCTCTGGTAGTCTAGTGGTAAAGAGCTGTGCTGCCAGTACAAAAGCGTATGGTTTGAATCCACCAGCTGCTCTGTGGGGAAAAGATGGGCTGTCTCAGCCTGTGTGATTGACAGACTCGGAAAACCTGCTTTCAACTCAATGACACATAACAACAACTGCTCCCACTAGCTTCTCCTATTTAGTCTTTATGAATCTGTAAGGAAGACACTTACTTTCCTTATTTTTCAGTCTAGGGCAGTGAAGGTTCATGAAAATTCAGTCACTTGCCAAGATTCTTCAAGACATGAAGTCCCAGAGTAGGGCCAGTATAAATTCCTCTCTGCCCAGGCCAAGCATGGGCTCACCACAGCCTTCTGAGGTCAGCCTGGTCTCTGCCAGGAGGCCCCTCTGCAAGGAGATTCGGGCTCTTTTTAAAGAGGACTTGGAGTGGGCCCTGGATGAGCCTTAATCCACAAGTCAATGTGAGAAGCCAGCTAACCTTGTCTGCTCCCAGGTCCTGGGATGTCCTCGGGTCATGGCCAGGCCTGCCAGGCTGCCCTGGAAGGCACATAGCCACCTGGTCCTGCCCGTGACCCTGGGTGTGGGCCAAGAGCAGATGAACTTCAGAGGAGTGTTGAGAGAGCAGCTGACCCTCCTCAACTCATGACAAGTGCTGCATGTGTTGGCAGCCACGCCGTCTTTGCCTGGGCAGGTTGGAAAGTGAGTGTGTGTATCTGTATGTGTGTTGTCACTCAAGTGAGCATGTGCACAGTCTGTTAGGAAGAAAATTCCAGAAAGAAGTGAGTTGGGAACGTTGTGGTGATGTTGTTATGTGCAGTTGAGTCCTCTATGGCTCATAGCAGCCCGATGCACAAAAGCTCTGAACCCTGCCCTATCCTGAGCCAGTCTCAGGAAAAATTAATTGTGTCTTATGCAGCATAGGGGCTCAGGGGATGGAGAGGAGAGAAATATGAAGGAAGAATGGCTATGGTGGGTGCAGTGTGACAAAAGCTGGCGCACGAGTCAGGAGCCCTGGAATTGGATCTTGTTTCTGACAGTAAGACACACAGTATCTTGGACCTCAGTTTCTTTGTCACCAACATTTAGGGCTTGGAAGAGTGTTCCAGTTCCTTCCAGTTCTGACTTGCTTTTCTTTCTAATGAATAAATGTTTTCCCTCTCCCCTCATGATGTTGTTGTTGTTGCGTTGTGCACCATCGAGTCGGAACCAGCCCATAGCTGACCCTCTAGCGGGTTTTTCAGAGACAGTAAATCACACAGGAGGAGTGAATTTTCAGAGGTAATAAATTGCACAGGAGGAGACTGCCCATCTTTCTCATGCAGACCAACTGGTAGATTCGAAACGCATACTTTTGCCTTGGCAGCGTGATTCTTTACAAGTAAGCCTCCAGGTAAGAATTTGAGCTGCAATCCCAAAGGCATGAGGTTCAAATCCACAGGAGGAGGCACAGTCTCCTCCCATGTCACTTACTGCCTCTGAAAACTTGCTGGAGGGTCAGCTATGGGTCGATTCCATCAAGAAAGCACCAGATCTCCCCCCTCATAAGCATAAGAAGTAAATGCTAAGGAGGGTCTCTGGAAGGAAAGTTGGAGAGATAACAAAGCATCTGGAGAAGAGAAAGGCAGTGAGGGCAGGCCCGAGTCCCCCTGTGGGGGACGTGGTTCCAGCCATGGCCTTTCAGCTTCTCCCTGAGCCTCTGATCCGGGTGAGAGCTCTGCCGGGCCTGGGGCACAGCCTGCTGGGGCCTGGAGCCCCCTTCTGGCAGCCATCAGCATCGTGGGCACAACATCAGGACGGAGAGGAGGGGGACTGGCTGGTCCGTGAAACCGGCTGAGCTGAGGCCCAAAGAGAAAAAGGGCCTCTGATTGTGGCGAAAGACACCTAAAGAAAGGATAGAGTAGAGATGGGTGAGACATGCCTTAAAAGGCCCGTCAGGTTCAAAGCACCCACGTGCTCGCACCCACTCACGTACCCGTGACAGACGCTCACTTCCTCCCCCGCACCTACCTCAACAGCCAGCTCACTCGTCATCACTGACACTCAGCGTGCCATACCCACTGCCTGGCACCACGTCTGCACATCTACAGGTGGAGTGAACCTGGGCCCGGGCCCTTCCTCCAGTCCTTCAACCCCCAGGGCCTGACCTAGGGCTGGGCTTGGCGAGAGTGGCCGCCACTCAGAACCAGGGTCCCCCCGAGGACAGGCTGCCCTGGGCCTGCAGATGCAGAGAGCACCCTAGGCTTTGGTGAGAGGGAGGGAGACACCCTCTCAGGTGGCAAAGGATTCAGAGGCCTTAAATGCTTGTGTCTGGTTTCCGCTTTGGAGCCAGGAGACGAAGCAGGGGCTGTTTTTTCCGTTTCTGGCCCTTTGTGCCTCCCCTTCCCCCACTTGTCATTCCCCAGGCTACCATGAGCCAGCCTGAGTGACCTTCCTGTTTTGGGCTCAAGCTCAAAAACACTTTCTTAGCTTTAGGGGGGGAAAAATGTCCAAGGGCCCAGGGTGGAGTCCGGGCTCACTCCCTTCAACCCCAGATGGAAGCAGAATTCACTGAGCGCAAACGAGTGGATGGCAGAACTACAGGCCCAACTCCAGAAGCCTGTCTGGGAGGCAAGGACCAGCGTAGGAGCAGAGAACTATTATAGAAGAGTGGGACTTGGTACGGTCTTGTGTGCCCCGTAAGGACAGTACCTGGGGCTTCTGCCCCCACTTGGGGTCCAGTGAACTGGACTCAGGCCCAGCTGAGGAATTGCAGAGAAGTAGGGGAAGACGGGCTGGGGAATGTTGTGCTTCCCTTTAGGAGTAAAAGCAACTATTACTGATCATCTGTTGTACGCACGGGGTACTTACTGTCACAGTTATGTAGGGTTTCAGCACATTTATCCATTCAGTGAGGTAACAGGCCAGGAGAGTCTGTGGAGGTCACACCCGACATCCAAACACAAATCGAGACAAAAGGCTGAAATCAGGGTGGGAGAATGGATATTTAGAACTGCAGGAGCCACCTTAGCATCTCCCACATCTTTATTTTCCAGATGAGGACGCTGAGTCTCACAGAGGCAAGGCGACTTCACTACACTCTTGCTTCAGTCAGCCGGTGCCCTGACACCCGCCGTCACACAGCCATGTGCCCCGGAGGAGTCCGCCTGTCTCCCACACGAGAAGCTGTCCCCCGCTTCCAGGGAGGGCTCCCTCAAATTCAGCACTTCCTTTCCCTGGACTGGGAAAGGAGCCCTTCACCAGGAGCACCAGGGTGGGGTTATTTTTAGCTCCCTTCAGCAGACCTGAGACCGAGTCAGCGTGCCGTGCCGGAAACCACAGCCCCGTCTTGGTTGTTGTTCCTTCATACTTGAGCTTCAAGCTTCCCCCCAGACTTCTTGCTCTGCCGTGGGCCTTGCTTTGAGTCCAGCATGTGGTGGGCCATCATGTTGGATACATGGACACCGAGACTAGTGGAGGATCCCAGCCTCCCCACAGCAGAGACACCCCACCACCACCAGAACCACTCCTGTCACTCTGCCAACAGTCCCTTTGTTCTTCCCTCTCCACAGGCAAAGAGCAGAAGGAGACCAACATCGAGTCCATGAAAATGGAGGCAAGTGCTTCCCTCAACCCCCAGGGGCTCTGTGGATCCTGATTCTAGAAGGAACCCACCGCTCTGACCTGGCTGTGGCGAGTGTGTGAGGGGGAACCTGGGGGTGGGAGCCCTCCCTGCCCCCTTTTTACATGACCCTCTGTGAGAAGAAGAGGAAGTGGGTGTGGAGGTTGGAAGTCCCCCAGCAAGGCAGCCAGCTGGTCCCCCTCCAGGGAAGGCGCACCTCCCCTCACATCCAGATGCCCCCACCCCCACACATCCCTCACTTCTCTTGCCTGGGCAGGGCTTGCCCAGCCCTCATGGGCCTGGCATCTCTGACTGGAATCAGAGTTCCTGGGTTCTGTTTGGTGTCCCTCATTGTCCCCGTCATGAGGAACAAGCCCAACAAGGTGGCTGCCAGTGTCCATATTAATGCCTGTCTGTCTATCTGTCTGTCCCCTCTCTGTCCTAGGGCTCCCGGGGCCGGCTGCGGGGTGGCTTGGGCTGGGAATCGAGCCTCCGACAGCGGCCCATGCCACGGCTCACCTTCCAGGCGGGGGACCCCTACTACATCAGCAAGCGCAAACGGGACGAGTGGCTGGCACGCTGGAAAAGGGAGGTGAGATGCCTTCTGGCCTGGGCCCCCGGCCCTTCTTGTGAAGCTGGAAAACCTAAAGTTTGGCCACGCTGTCCTCTGGAGCTGCTGTCTGGCTCAGAATGAGCCAGTTTCTTCTTCAGCTTGAGGGAACAGCCTGATCTCTGGACAATGACTGGTTCTGTCCACAAATGGTGATTGAATCATTGCTGTGCACCAGGCACTAGGCCGTGGGTATACATGGTACCTGGCCCTCTGGAGCTGACATTCCTGTGGAGCAGATACAAGTAAATGGGGATACAACAGAGGGTAGCAGAGACAGCTTGTCGGGAGAGGCTTCTTGGAGCAGGTGGCATTTACATTGGGATCTAAAGGAACAGAAGAACTGCCTATGCAAGGAGTCAGGTAGAAAAGAGCCTTCCGGGAAGAGAAAATAGCCCAAGTAAAGTTCCAGCTTGTTGACAAATTCAAAGAGGAGTTTGCATAGGAAACTGGCGAATGAGTGAGCGTCCGGGAGAGGGACCAGGTGAGGTGAGAGGTGAGCAGGGCCATGTGGATCCTGGGCAAACGCTGGTCCAATTCTGAAGTACACAAGGAAGCCATAGGAGGTTTGCAAGCATTTGATGTGGGAGTGTTTTCTGTACCGGAGTGGAAATGATTTGATATGGACTAAGGTGGCCTTGTACTTTGAACATGTAGCTAGGAGACTCTATTCCTAGGAAAGGGATGTCATGCTTGACAAGATGAAGGGTCAGCAAAGGAGAGGAAGGACTCCCAACTGCACTGACAGAGTGACTCCAGCAATGGCCTCTCGTATGTCAGAGATGATGAGAATGGTATAAGATAAGCAGGGCTCAGGCCAGTGTTCATAGGCCAGAGTCATATTTGAGTCAACACACCTAACAAGACAAGAGCACAACAAGGTAGCATCAGAGAGAAAGGGATAGGTTAATTTGGAGACAGAATCAGTGGATGAGCTGATGGGTAGGAGATATGCGGGAGGGTTGAGGAAAGGAAGAACTCAATTTCTAGGGACACGGCCAGACACCTGGGTTACTGGTTGTAGTGTTGATATGAACAGGTTGGGGACAAGTTGAGGGTGAGATGATGTGGTGCCTGTTAGGCCTCCACGTGGAGGTACCACGTTGCAGGTAGACGTGTCTTCCTGGGGCTCAGAGGAATCTGACTGCAGATAAAAATGTATGCGTCATGCACAGAACTCTGGCATACAAATCCATGGAAACCCATGAGCTCATCTAGAAGGAGAGAGAAGAGGCAGAGTCCCTAGACTGGGGCGACAGAAACCCCACCATGTGGAGGCCAGACACAAGGGATGCTGTAGACTACAGGGACTAAGAAGGCAAGCTTAGGAGGGAAACTAAGAAAGCAGGGTGTCAGGAAGGAGAATGTTGTGAGTCTTGTGGAAAGCTGCGTTCGTGAGCCGTGCCCAGTGCTGGTGACTCTTCTAGGAAAAGCTTCTGCGGGACCAGGGGAGGAGAGAGTGTGAACCATGCTCTGGAGGGAGGACTCCAGGAGCAAGGGAAAGTGGAGACAAAAAGACCAAGGAGTGAGTTCAGCCCACCAAATGCTGTTTTATATTCTCTTGCTTTCTTGTAAGTTTGATTAATAGGGGTACAGAGACTAGGGGGTGTTGACATGCTGCAAGTGGGAAGGTTCAGGGAACTGTGGTTAATAGCCATCACATGGGGCATTTCACAGGCACCCTTGTTTACCTCGAGCCTGTAAACGAGGGCGGTACCCCATTTTACATCGTGTGAGAGTTTGCTCTAGAAAAACCAAGTGAAAACAAGGTGAGAATTTGCCTACTGATTATTTGAATCCCTTTAAGATCCAGAAAGGCAGAAATTCTTCTCTTGGGAGAGCCTAGAAGAAGGGAGCTAGTCTGAGGTCTGGGGAGAAAATTGTACTTAACTGGGCATATAAGTGTTCTCTTTGGGGTGAAAATTCAGGCTTTCTCTCCCTCAGTTTAACTGTTGTGGCGCTAGGGCCCTTAGAATGTGGATGGGAATGACTTTGCTTTTTTAGCCCTCCTGTCATAGGCTCCCATTTCTGTTCATTAGTCTCAGGGTGTCAGCCTTGACCTGCAGGCTTCTGGGATATGTGGGTGTACCTGTGTTGTGCAGGGTCAGCTGAGTCACCACCTCCCACATGCGTTTTTCTCCTGCAACGCGTCCTGCCTCCCTGGCACCTTGTTTAAAAATTTTGAAGGTGTCAGCCTTGACCCACTGGTAGACTGTAGGGAGTTGCACTGCTAACCCAGACTCAGCGTCTCTCTCATGTTTCAAATCCACCAGTGGCTCTTGGGGGTTGTGGCGGAAAAGACTATCTCCTCCTATACAATTTACAGCCTCTGAAAACTTGCTGGAGGGTCAGCTATGAGTTGGTTCACAACACAGCAGCATTTAACAACATAGATGATGTATCATGTGTTTATTCTCCCTAAAAGAAGCAATATTGAGGCTTCTCCTCAGTTACAATTAAAAAAGGATGTCTTTTCTTAATCCACAGGAAACATGTACGATAATTGATAATAGTACACTATCTCAACTTTATATTTTCTGTTCAAATGTTAAATGGTTCTTGTTATGAACATTTTGAAGCAACTAGTGCATTGAGCCCCCGTCAACAATCATAAACACTTTTCTACGAGAATAATGGCACCTCCTGCCCCCTAGTCCCCCCCAGTAAAGTCACTCAGTGAGTAGTAATAAAAAACTAAAAAGTGTATTTAATTTATAGAATTTCCAGGGTGTATAACCTGATAAGAGGTGGAGAACCAGAAACAAAATCTGTTTTCTTTTAATGAAGTTATTCCTTATTCCTTTAATGTAAAGATATATAATCTATATAAAGATATTTAATATAATGTAATGAAATACATCCTAAAGAATTCCATGTCTTCCAGCTACAATTTTCAGAGCTACTCTTTTCCTCTTTTGAAATCAGAGGACTGGCTGGTATACAAACTCACACAGCAAATGGAAAATGAGGTTGGACTAGATTAGAATTTAGGTTTTCTAACTCCTATGTTAAGGGAGACAGGACACATCCCTGGCGTACACCCTTCCTGATTTTGAACCATGCAGTGTTTCCTTGCTCTGTTCTGACGACTGCCTCTTGGGTCAAGTACAGGTTTCTCATTAGCATGATCAAGTGTTCTGGGATTCCCATTCTTCTCAGAGTCAACCACAGATTGTTACGATCCACACAGTCAAACGCCTTTGCATAGTCAGTGAAACACAGATAGACATTCCTCTGGTATTCCCGGCTTTCAGCTAAGATCCATCTAACACTAGCTACAATATCCCTAGTACCATGGCCCCTTCTAAACTCAGCCTGGATTTTGGCAGTTCTCTGCTGATGTGCTGCTCCAGTTGTTTTTGGATAATCTTCAGTAGAATCTTGTTTGCATGTGAAATCAGTGATATTGTTCTGTAGTTTCCACGCTCTGTTGGGTCGCCCTTCTTTGGGATGGGAACAAATATAGATATCTTCCAGGGGGGGCTGGGCTCTATGAGGAGTAAGGTGGGATCAAGATTGGTGGACAATCTATCAACAATTTGCGATATGCAGATGACACAACCCTGCTTGCTGAAACTGAGGAAGCTTGTTACAGAGGGTCAAGGACTGCAGCCTCCAATATGGATTGAGACTCAATGTCAAGAAGACAAAGATGCTCACCACTGGACCGACCAATCGGCAGCATCAGGATGGATGGTGAAGAGATTGAGATTGTACACAGCTTTACTTTGCTTGGCACCACAGTCAACACTCTTGGCACCAGTAGCCAGGAAATTAAAAGACGTATTGCCATGGGAAAGTCTGCTGTTAGGGAACTCTCCAAAGTACTGAAGAGCAGTGGTGTCTCTCTGGAGACTAAGGTGCATCTGATACAGGCCATGGTCTTTGCAATCACTTGTTATGCATCAGAGAGTTGGACAATGACTAAGAAGGATAGGAGAATAGATGCCTTTGGGTTTTGGTGCTTGAGAAGAGTATTGAGGGTACCATGGACTGCTAGGAAAACAAACGATTCATCCTGGAAAGGGTTAAACCGGGCGGCTCCTTGGAGGCAAGGATTCTGAGGTTTCGTTTAACATACTTTGGACATGTTGTGAGGAGAGACCGGTCCTTGGAGAGGGACATCATGCTTGGGAGGGTGGAGTGACAGCACAGGAGGGGAAGGCCCTCCATGAGGTGGATTGATTCAGTGACTGGGGTAATCGGGATGGGAGTGTCAGAGGCAGTGCGATTGGCACAGGACAGAGTGGAGTTTAGGGCTGTTGTACATAGGGTCGCTATGAGTTGCAAGCAACTTGATGGCACATAGCAACAACAACAACAACAACATGTTAAGGGAGCTCTGGTGGCCTAGTTGTAAGAAGCTGCTCTGCAATCCCAAAGGCACGCAGTTCAAGGCCAACTGCTGCTCTTCAGGAGAAGGATAGTCTCCTCCTGTGTGATTAACTGCCTCTGAAAATGGGCCGGAGGGTCAGCTATGGGTCACTTCTGACTTGACAGCACATAAAAACAAAAACCAAAAGCTCCTGTGTTGACCCTCGCCATCTATTCCACCCTCGGCCCTCCTGGGCTATGTCGGGAGACTAGAGGGGCATCAGAACGAAACAAAGCAAAGCAGAGCAGAAAACCAAACTGGCTGTCGTCGGTCAGTTCTGACGCATGAGACCTATGTGTATCACAGTCGCTCGGCCTCCATAGGGTTTTCAGTGGCTGATTTGTCAGAAGTATACCACCAGGCCTTTCTTACAAGGCAGTTGGGTGGACTTTGCTTAAGCACCTCTTGTGTGTTAACCACTTGTGTTCCTAGGGAGACTCCTAGGAAGATGCTCTCTTGGTATTTATTGTTCTTGTTCAAAACTCACGACCACAAAGTTGCTTCCAGCTTACAGTGGTCCTCCACTGGCTTTCTGTCCTAACAAGGAGACTGTCCATCTTCTCCAGCTGATGAATTGGAGCCTTTTGGTTAGCGGCACAGCCTGCCT